GTTTCTGAGGTACATAGACCGTCGGAATATGAACGGAACGGTAAAAGTAGGACTTTCGATTGGGCGTCGTCATTGCAGGCCATAATTCGGCAAACATACGAAGTAGGGCGGTTTTGCCCACACCACTTGGCCCCGTGATCAGTAAAGAGTCTGCCAGACCAATATTGATACTGAGGTCTACATATGTGTGTGAGAGAAAGATGGGTGTGTAAAGTCAAATTTGAAAAAGCAATAATAGAACTCCATGAAAACAAATTGTTCACTCAAACTGGCCTCAACCACATAGATAATATCTGTTAGAAAACTGATCCCCAAAAGCCTGGTGACACAGGAACACTTACACGTCTAGTCTTGCTCGCTGTCTGGTAGAATCATATAACAAACGGTCACATATCTCCCACACTCAACTCTGAAATACTTTTGAGATATGTTACTGATTGTAACTTATGCGGAGAGCCGATCGGAATTGAGGATCTAAAAAGAGTATTGTGAGCCTCACCGTATTTGCACGGTGTCCGGCTTCTTAGGCATCCTTGGTAATCACCTGTATACTTGAAGCGACTGATCGATTTGTTGACGATTCAGCCTGAAATACCGAAATATTTGGTGTAACCGTCCTGATCTTCACAATCTAATTTCAAGTCAGACAATCTTTTGTGAACATCACATACATTTAAAAGAGCAGATAAACGTGTGTATGTGACATAGGCGTTTATATTCCCGAATACATATATGTTTGACCTTCATAATCACAATCCAGAGTAAACATCAAAACATGCAAATACGACCTATCAATTGAGTCTAGTAGGTTTGTGACAATTCAGCGCGTAATCGGCATGGAAGACATGAATNTTCGATTAGGGTTAACAGATAACCAACCGTCTCCGACTGTTACTGTTGGGTCAGTTGGCCTGACTGCCTATCACAGAGGACGACACATGAACAAGCATGAGTTGGCAATTCGGTTCATCCCCGAATATGAGTTGGTTGATACAGGGGTAACACACACGTATTCCGAGTGAAGCGTCCGGAGTTCAAATCCTGCGCGGGATGGTGCATATGCACTACTGATGATCTTTAATAAGAGCGAAACACTAGTTTAGTGCTTCCGAGTTTATGGTTGACCGGATAAAGTGAGGATTGCGCGTGAAGTTAAGGTTTGAAGGATAGTCAGTTCAAATCTATGTCAATTATCTCACACCAATCACAAGTAACTGTCAGCCAACTGCCAGTGGCCTAATAAATCAATTGGTGCAACGTAAAAGTGGATTTTGTTAATTTAAACTGACGACAGGGTCTCAGGATTATAGGTTATTCAGAGGATAGGTACTTTTGTGTAAGACTACAGGACATAATAAACTGCAAAGCCTGATCCAAGATACAATGCAACGATTTCTGAGATTTATCATTAAAAATATCGGAAAAGATTTAACACAACTATGACATCCTTGTCGCCCCCTCCCCTATATCCCTGACAACACTAGTCACCGGTGAGTGAAAACTGAATAGTATTAGATTTCAGAAACAGTAATTCTTTCAACTGGAATTCACAAATAAACATGATTCCCATTAGCATATTCAAACTGATAACTAATGCGTTTCAATACTTCGTGAGCTCATGAGCAGTGAGGGTTCGTCAAGCGATGTCAGCGACTACCCCCACCCGATTTGATATATTGCTTTTCACATTCAGTGCTATTTGTTGGTACGGTTAAGTTGACCAGAAAACAAGTTTACCTCGTATTCTGTTGTTCTCAGTGTATTCAATGGGACTTGGCAACCACGGAAAAATGTCCGTAAATGTTCTCCCTATTTCGTCTCCATTGCGCAATATCATTGGCAAATAAAAGTTAGTTGTGAGAAATCCGAATTCGAACATTCACATTTATATGATGGATGAATTACAATGCTGGTGCTTATTCAAGCCCATTCGATTGGGTTTGGTTGGTAGTAAAATTAAANAAAATTAAATAGCAAGTTATAATTTCCACTGGCGGGTTCTGGACAGTTAAGTGTTCCAATGCTTCATCGAGTCGTCACTTGAATGAATCAATGGTTGGTGGACAAACAGCGTGAGGTGGAGGAGAGTTCCAGGTATTACAAAATCTGAGGTAGAAAGAATGACGCCTGCTATCCAGCTGGCTCTTTTGGAGCAAAATTCTAAATGGATGTCCTCGTAAAGAACCATTCCTGGATAGTGTTCGTGGAGTAATACACGGGTAGATTGGTTATCGTATTGTGTGATATAAGAGGGTCGAATCTCGCCGTAGTCGTCGGTTTTCAGACAAATACAGTCAGACAGTATGCATCCTTTTACTGTAAGTTTTTCACTGTAGCCTTTTGACCAACTTGGTTGCTGTTCTCTGCGGACGTTCGAATGCCTTTTGATCGTGAATTCCAAGCTTGTATAGCATACTCGGTGTATGGTGCATGCTGATAGCAAAGGGAGCGATATATTTGCTTCGAGTGGCCTAAAAGCAAGTTTTGTTACTTTAACTTGCGTTATGGTTTTTTACGACGCTCTCACGCAATGTATTGAACATCCAAGATACTGAAACACAATAACTCCCAGATCCTCTTCATTTGGAGCACGCGGTGATAGCTGATTTCCGAGTACGTAAGGAAAGCAACAGCTGTGCAGCAACGATACAACCTTACATTTTCCAACGTCGAATTCGATGTAATTAGTAGTAGACCATCTGTGAGCTACGTCAAGATTTTCCAGTAGGGTTTCATAATCCTCAGGATTTTGTACCGTTCTGCATGTTTTGGAGTCGTCATCAAATAATAGGATCTTTCCCCAAGGACTGTTGGTAGCTCGTTTATGAATGCTAGGAAAAGACACGGACCAAGTACAGCTGTCAGGAAGGTTAAATGCCAAAATTATACGGTCGAAAATTTCGTATCTTTGGCGAAAATAGCCGCAACTTGGTGAGCCTGCGGGCCGAAATGATCGGTCAGTGTATTCGACCGGACGGTCTGACGTTTCTGACTTGTCAGACAGCGTAGTCAAACGGGCGGTTCGATGACTCTGATTGGTCAGTTATACCGAATGTTCAGAACGCACCAAAGGCAATAAATAGGACAAATACTAACCCGTAAAACAAGGCAGGAAAACACAATTTTTCTAATATACTGTCCTGCGCCATGTTGACTGTGTTCTTTTCTTCGGCTCGCAAGTTGGTGGTCGGATAGCAGTCTCAGCAACAGTCAATACACAACAACTCCTTGTGAAACTCCACGGACAGCCGCAATGGGTCCCGATAGAGAAACGTTATCTCGAATCGATATGGTACGCTATCGAAAAAATATTCAATCTGGATTAGTCCTCGAACACCGTAGTTATGGGGCTTTTGCAACAGTATACAGTGGTTAAACCTGTCAAAAACTGGAAAAATCCACGTAGACTACGTCTATTGTTTCCCATGCGTCGACTAATCTGGTACATTCATTTTGAAACCCGTGTTGGGCAAGCGATGGAATTTTATACTTCTCGAAATACGCCATAAGAAAATCAGCAATAATTCATTACATTACCTTTGACGGTAGTTCGCGGGATCGCTTTATAAACCAACTTTGCAATCAGACTTTGTCACCTACAGTGAACACATGAAGCAATAGTGGAAACGCGCCCTGCATGCCTTATTGGTGGTTATTCCATAGTTCACCTTTATAATGGCATTGCTATGCTTGTATAGTAGTGGCACTGGATTGAAAATAAATTTAATTGCCGGGATTTCATGAAACCTCCTCTCGCGCTAATTGTACACACATGTTGCTCAACATGATATATAATTATCCCAAATGCCGGCAGTTGGACATCTATTGAACTCTCGCCAGGGGAAATTCCTCTGTGACATTCATTTTTATTTTGTTCGACCGCAACTTGATGATAATCGTGTGGGGGACGTGCTCATAGGCTTGGATTTTACAGCGGTCATTGTGAATTTGATGTCGATATCCATGATTATTTTCCAAGACTCCAATGCATCAGTTAGTTCTTCAGGGTGGATCCACTGCTTGAAAGCAGCAAGGTTCTGCAATTTTTTGCAGTAAATAAGGATGCGTGTGCTGGTTTTCAGGCATGCTTCTATACAAGCGTGAGAAATATAATCGAAAAGCATAACTGCATGGTCACTGCATCTGAGTAAAGATTCTATTGCGACAAATTCTATCATGTGCTTCTCGCTCGTCAATACCAAGTTTAATGTTGATGGTAGACGGCCGGCACCAAATCTTGTAACATCCTC